GCGCGTGGAGAGCCGCCAAGAACCACCGAGGGTTGGCGGAGATCCCACGGACGTATTTCCCATCGAAAATAACGGATTGCCTCTGCACGTGCCGTAAGAGAATTCAGTATTAGCCCAGAGTTCACACCCTAGCTCACGAAGACAATGCCCCGATGATATGACAAAGTAGGCACCTGAGGAATGAGCTCCCTGGGGGGTTCTGGCCTCTTGCACCCCAGCCAGTAGAACACCCTCCAAGCCGAACAAATTCTTACTCGCAAGATTGCGTGCGAAACGGAATTTGCCCTTCCTTCCTCGGCGCTTGGCGACAGCTGCACTCTCGGCATTGAAAGTGGCCACTTTGAGGTGCAGCGCGTGAGACCACTTGGAGGACCTGAGGGGGGGGCGGTGACCAAAGTCATCGGACGCCTCAGAAGGCGCTGGCGGGGCGCGCATTCCATGGTCGGAGAGCGCGCGGCAGGCAATGTCCAGGCCATCAGGTGGCCTCTCGAGCCACTCCCATTCCCGAGCAGGTCCGTGCTTTGTCGCCTCAGCCCGAAAAGGGGGGGCGAAGCAGGGCCCCCACTGTTCGGTGCCCACTAGATTGGCCAGGTGGTCCGCTAGGGATTTCCACGGGCGCCCCACGGATCCCTTAACATGGCAAACTCGAAGCGGGAGTATATCCTGATTGGGCCACCTTTCTTTAGCTCTAGCCATGGCTAAGTCAAACATGATTAAGAGCATGCGAGCAATCGTACTGCTTTCCGAGACCGTAGCGCAGCCGTAGACGTGGTCGCACACGTTCTTGGAGTCCGCGTGAATGACTGTGGGCGGATGCTGCTGGTCGCTGATAATGGCCATGAGGGCCCAGACGACGGCGGCGCAATCGACGTCCGTGCTGTCGAGCCCACCCGATCCACGCGGGGCCAGAAAATAATATAACAAGGGAGCCGCCCATACACCCTGGAACGAGCACCCTAGGAAATCTTTTCCAACGCGGACCGCGGCCCAGGCCCCAGAAACATCATCCCCGCGTCTCAATGAACCACCGGTAAAGCATGCAAGCTCGGTCCAATTCGAATGCCCCGAAGGGCAGAGCCCAAGAGCCCACGAAGATTCAGGGGGCAAACCATCGGGGAGGTCGAACGCCCAAGACATAGCTGCCACTGAGGTGACAAGTTCCAGGATGGTCGGGCCTCTCGCTCAGTGACGCCATAACTGCGCGGGAGAAGGAGGGGGCAAGGTGACGGGAACACAGCTGCCCGCAGGCGCCTCAGCTGATCCTGACAGATCAGGTCTAGCTTCACATGATGGGGGAGGGGACATAACCCATGTCCCCTGACCCGTTGGCCGACAACTCCACTTGCTGAAACTCGCCCAGAATGCCTTCGCTGTAACAAGGCTGCTGGTCCTCAGCCCCCATGCAAGACAAAGCCTGTCCGAGCTTGAAGGCATCGGACTGCGAAACAATCACTGAACCGAATTGGCTGGCCTGATCACAAGTCGCCCCTCCCCGACCGTGATCCCCCCCCCCCCCCCCCTCCTCATTGCCGTCCGATCGACATCTATGACCCCCCGCTGACGGATCATGGATGGCTGCGCGCACGCGCACAGGGAAAGGAGCATCAGCGCGCACAGCTGTGTAGCTGTCACGTCGGACCTGTGGCCCTAGCGCCAGAGCTTCACCAGAGGCCTTAAGACACGATTTAAATTGCTTGGGGGCCGAGAGGGGGGTCATTATAAGCCGATGAACACGGAGTAGGAGAGGGCAACTTTTCCCCGGGGAAAAAAAAAGGCTCTGACTATGCACTCCCCGAAACTTACATGTCGCTGAGCCGAGGGCCCTTCCTCGGTGGCGACTCCCCCATGGGCGCTGCCGGGCTCCTTTTGACCCCTGGCGGCTCTCCATCTATGGGCGAGCCTGCAGGCGGCGCCAGGTGGGGGTCCTCTGCCCCCTGCGCGGGGTGCATGGGCTGGGTTGGGGATACAAAAGGGGAGTGCGTATCCTTAGGGCCGGACATCATCTCAGACTCACTTTTCACCCTCTGGGCCCCATATGGATCCTCGGCGACCTCCGTGGGCGACATCTCGGGCGTAGGTATGTCTGGCGCGGGCATGTCGGGCTGACCCGCGGGGGTGCTCGTCGGCGAATTCACCGCGATGGGGGTATCTGGCATCCAGCGGGCCTGCGTCTCCGCCCTGTTACCTCCGGGCCCCACTTGCTCTTGATTCCCCCTAATATCGCCGGCCTCCTGCTGCCGCGTGCTGAACATTCCGAAAGCATCATGCGGCTCTGCCGTCGAAGAATTTGCACTGCTTGCAAAGAGACTTGCCAACCATATGTATAGTTTCTGATGTGTGTGCTGCTGCTTCATCATGAGTAGCTTCAACATCTCCCTTCACCTCTGAGCTTGGCGTCTGGCCTGGCTTCTGGATAGGCTGACCAAACTTCTGCTGTGGGGGTGGCGGCATTGACGGCGGAAATCCCATGTTACACTGTTGCATGGGCACTGCTCCTCCCGCGCACTGGTGCTGAGGTACTGGAGGTGGTGGTGGTGGGAAAGTCGCGCCTGCTGCTGGGGCATCCTCACCAACCATATAGTCTCGAGCCCCTATAGCTCGTCGATCGCGGCCTGCCACTCGTGCAGGTCCACCTCTGATTGCTTGTAGTCCGCTTGTAGGTCGCCAAGCGTCACCTGCAAATTGCGATTGTGAACCTCGAACTTGTCAGACTTGGATTTCGACTCCGCGAGCTGATCATTCAACTTCTCACAAGTGCTCATCATGTACTTGAGGCATGAAATCTCTCAAACGAAACCATGTGGGTCGTCCTTACCCCGTCGGCGACTTATGATGATGAGCCTCCCTATCTCGAACATGCGCTGCTTGGTCTTCATCTTTAACGCTGGGCACGTCCGTGGTACATGTTCATATCCCCAAGGAACGCATGGCCTCATGCGCTTCGGACCGTTTCATCGTCACCACTCTGCCGATGAGCTGCTTAATATATTGCTGCTCCCGCTTCAGCTCCTTCTGTTGGTTCTCCTGGCGGATGATCTGGCGAGTCCTGCTGGACCCACGTGGACGATCCTGCTCAGGGCCCCGAGTAAAAACTCGTTGACTCCAATGCCGACCACATAAGCACTTCCAATGATGACCCTTGACGAATCTGCCACAGGCACAGTCCCAAGTCTGATTCGGGCCTCCTTGGCGATCCGTCGCAGAAAAAGGGGAAGCTGCAGTGGCTCACTAGGAGGGATCGAGCTTTGGAAATCGCGAGAATCGGGCGGGCGCGGTTGCGCTTCAAGCGCTGGCGCCGGTGCCAAGGAGCTTCCTCTGCCGTGGTAACTTGGACGGTCGCGGCATCTCTGAAGGCGCGCCTAGGGTCGGGCTCCTAAACCTGGGCCGGACGCCTCTCCTCCTCCTCCTCCTCCTTCTCCAACTCCTCCTCATCCTCTTCCTCCTCCTCCCCCTCCTCCTCCTCCTCCTCCTTCTCCTCCTCCTCCTCCTCCTCCTCCTCTTTTTCTTCTTATTGTTCTTCCTCCTCTTCCTCCTCCTCCTCCTCCTCCGCCGCCGCCTCCGCCTCCGCCTCCGCCTCCGCCTCCGCCTCCGCCTCCGCCTCCTCCTCCGCCTCCTCCTCCTCCTCCTCCTCCTCCTCCTCCGCCTCCTCCTCCGCCTCCTCCTCCCCTCCTCCTCCTCCCTCCTCTCTCCTCCCTCTCCCTCCTCCTCCTCCTCCTCCTCCCCCTCCCTCCTCCTCCTCCTCCTCCTCCTCCTCCCCTCCTCCTCCTCCCCTCCTCCCTCCCTCCCTCCCTCCCCCTCCCTCCCCTCCTCCCTCCCTTCCTCCCTCCTCTCCTCCTCCTCCTCTCCTCCTCCTCCCTCCTCCTCCTCCTCCTCCTCCTCCTCCTCCTCCTCTCCTCTCCTCCTCCTCCTCCTCCTCCTCCTCCTCCTCCTCCTCCTCCTCCTCCTCCTCCTCCTCCTCCTCCTCCTCCCGTAGCCATTTTGGCTCAAGCCATTTGGCTCAAGTCGCAATCTGCGGTATCCCCGCCCCTCGAGGGGCAACAGCGCCGACTTCTGACAAGCCTGCTCCCGACGCTGCACCATACAGCGACCCGCAGGCTTCTTTGATTTTGGCCAACATTACGCACCTTTCCCCTCATCCCTGCAGACAGCCGCCATGGGCAAGGGTTCTTACGCTTGTTGCTCTAAGCGTGGCTGCCGTGGTTGGGAATGGCTTCCCAAGAAGTGGTGCTCCCAGTGCGGGTCCAGCCTCAAGGAAGGTTCCATGGGCGGCAAGGCTGACGGCGACGCCTTCCGCCCGAGAGGCCCGCGCAGAGCAAGTTCCCGCCCACCGCCTCAGACTACCGCAGCTGAGGAAGCAGAAGAGCCTCCCAAGGCCCAGGACAGCCCGCCTGACCCTGTGGCTCTGGCGCAGGCCCAGGTGGCCTTCTGGCGCAAGTGGGTGGGAGTCGACAAGAAAGAATATCACGACGCAATTGAGTACCTCAAGCAAGCGAAGATGCAAGCGCTCAGGGGCAAGAGTCTGGATCAGCAGACTCAGTCGCTCACGGGCCAAATCAATGTCATCAAGAGCAAGCTCGTCACCTTCGAGTCCGAGCTCGACGAGCTGGCGTCCACGATCGAGAAGTTGGCCGAGGAATACAAGTCGAAGCTGCACGACCAGACCGAAGCTCGCCAAGAGCTCCAGATGTTGGAAGCACAGCGAGCAGTGGCAGCGTCTGCAGCAGCACAAGAGGTGGCAGCAGATTCTAATGTTCAAGGCCTGCTCAGTGCCGCCCTCCAGTCCAAGATCCCAGAGGGCGGCTGCATCCCGCCCGCGCTCACCGCCAAGGTGCAGGAGGTCGCCGAGCTGTTCGACCAGTTGCAGCAGCAGCACCTGGCAGCAGTGGGGGCGCAGGCGGGAGGCGAAAGCGGCGGCATCGGGGGCCCACCGCCAGCGCCAAGCGCGGGAGCGGCAGGCCTGGGCGGCTCGCCATGGCCAGGGCCCCCCTCCGCCGCCGCAGCCTGCGGAGTGCCCCCCGCGGAGCGTGACGCAGCCGAGGCGATGTCGGTCGGCAGCGGAGAAGAAGCGGCAGCTCGGGACCTCCATGACGTCGAGATGCCCCACATGTTTGCAGGCCACCGGCGCACAGCAGACAGCCTCTCGCAGCTCACCGAGATCATGGTCTCCCACGGCAACGACGACGAGAGGGCCAAGAAAGTACGTGGAGCGGCGGCAGTGGTGCAGGCCGCGACCTCAGGGACGGCGACGCCGTCTCTTTAACAAGCTCGGCATCGTCACTTTCAACGGGAGCTGCTGGCCCACGCTCAAGCAGTTCATCAAATCCCGTGCTGCCAGTGACTGTTCTTTGATTTGTGTCCAGGAACACAAGCTCAGAGATGGGGATGTCATTGCTCAGCAAGTCCAGTGGTGCCAATCAATGGGGTGGTTGGCGCATATATCACCAGCAGCACTCAATGACAATCAGCAGATTGTAAGTGGTGTTGCCATTCTAGTCAGAGCCAACCTCGACATTGGCATATCCAACATGAGTTTCAGGAGTACAGTGGACCGCAGTCGTCTTACTGGACTACTTCTGGAGCTCCCTGGCCTACCTCGGCTAGGGCTTATGTGCGCATATTTTAAAGCAGCTGGCGGGCTTGGAGAAGTCAACCTAGGCCTGCTAGCAGACATCGCCGTCCAGCAAGATCAGGAGAGGGTCCCGATCATTGTGGCTGGGGATTTCAACCTCTCGCCGTCCAGAATCGAGAGCCTCGATTACCTCCACAGGGCCTCCCTCCAAGTGGTTGCCCCATCGAGCCCTACCTTCCGTGTGAAGAAAACTCAATCGGTTCTGGATTATTTCATCATCAGTAAGACGCTCAGCGAATATGTCGACAAGGCCCGCACGTGGGCCAACTATCCGATGTCTCCTCACAGGCCAGTGTGTCTCGACCTCTCGGACTCCGACAGTTTCATGATCCCAGTATTGGTTCGGCCGCAGAGGCTACCGACTACTCGGCCGTTCGGGCCACAGCCTCAACAGCAGGCCTGGACCCAGAGTGCATGCGCACTAGACTACGCAGATCAATTATTAGCTGATGCCGCCAAGCCTCTCAGCCAGAAGCAAAAGCAAGCAGTACTAGACGTCGTCTATTTCACGATCGTCAAAGATTTGGAGCAGACAGTCAGCAGAGCAACGGACACACCGCTGAAGCATTCCTCTACTCCAAGAGCCAGCCCCCCTACCATCAAATGGGTAAGAGCTAAGCACAAAGACGCTAAAGCTAGAGCTAGCTGGAAATCCCTTGAGGCTCCTCTACGCTGGCTTCGCAATAGGCTAACGGACATCAATTACAGCATCCATCATCAAGATCATCAGCAGCTAGTCTTTGTCGTCGCAGGGCTGCAAGACGCTCCTGACGAGTTTCAAGAGGTCGAGAGCCTCAAGCAGGGGCTCGGCGCTTCCCAGCGGCTCGGCGAGCTGCTGATCTCCGACAGTGCAGCAGGTACGCTAGCAATGGGCACAGCCGACGACGCCATCGGGACCCTGATTGAGGACTTGGACAAGTCCATCGATTCGGAGAGGAGCAAAAGCAATCTGGCGGCCTCTAAGGCCTGGGCTTCCTGGGTGCAGACCTCACTACAAGGCGGCGTTGGCTGGGCGCATCGCTGGTCGCGCAATCTCGAGGCTTGGAAGCCCGCGTCTACTTTCCACCGCGGCCAGTGGTCAGGCAGGCCGTCGAGAATTCTGGAGGGGGAAGCCGAACGACTTGCCAGTATTTGGGACACGCAAACGAGGACCCAACCCAACCCTGTTCCTGGTCATATCGACGATCGTGTCGCTCTGGGCCTTCTCACAGGCGAAACGGTGCAAGCAGCCGCCAAGAGCTTCCCCCCCAGAACTGCCTCGACCTGGGACGGAGTCCACCCGAGGCATTTTCTCTTGCTCTCGCAAACGCAGGCGGATCTCATAGCTCGGCTCATCCTGGTCATCGAATGCCTGGGGTTTATGCCGTCGCAGCTGCAAGCTATCATTTCGGTCCTCATCATGAAGCACAAGCAACAGGATAAGTCAGCAACAAAGCCAGCTATGAGATCCATAGGAATGATGTCAGGCCTCTACCGCACGTGGGCGCGTATTCGTCAGTCAGCAGCTCGTGAATGGGAGAGGCATCACAGGCGACCCTTTCTCGCCCATCAAGCAGGATATTCCATAGTTGAGCTCGTTTTCAAGCAGAACCTGGATTGCGAAACGTATTCTAAGAAGAGCGAAGCTTTTGTGTCTGGTATGGTTCTGTATGATCTCAGTAACTACTACGAGCACGTCAACAGAAGCAAGTTAGCTAAGCGAGCCCTTAGAAGTGGTTTCCCCGCTACCCTCTTAAGGCTCATCATCAGCATATATTCCAGCCCCAGGTTCGTCGCCCTCCAGGATATGATCGTATATGTTGGGTGTACCAAGTATGGGCTAGCTGCTGGATGCGGGTTTGCTACTTACCTCATCCAGATGTACACCCTGGAACCCCTGGACTCCTGGACCCACCAGAATCCCTCCCTCGACCTTTTCATGTTCATAGATGACCTCCTTTTGAAGTCTCACAGCCAGAAGCCCAAGGTCGTGGTCAGCAGCCTCGACTTGGGCACCCGCCGTTTGCTCGCCAGTATAAAGCAGGATTTGGATTGCAGCATCTCGCCCGCCAAGACGCAGATGGTCGCCTCGACCCCGCAGCTCAGGTCTCTCTTGAAGAAAAAGCTTAAGGATCGTGCAGGCTCCAACGTGGATATCTCAGCCCCTAATCTTGGAGTGGAAACCGCCGCTGGTGCCCCCCAAAGCCGTTGGAGAAAGAACAGGCTGACCAGGACGAGGATGGATCAGATCAAGAGAAGGATGAGGAGGCTTGGAGCTATTCAGAAAGGAGGTGGAGACACGAGGAAGGTTTACAACACGGGGATTTTTGCAGCAACTTCCTTTGGACACGAAGTGACGGGCCTTAATAATTCGCAACTAGCTATTGCTCAGCAACAATATTTAAAGCTAGCGGGGCCCAGATGCGCCACTAGAAGCAGAACTTTAAGCTTAATCCTAGTGGGAGACCCCACCTGGAAGCTTGCCCTTGGACCCGCCATGCTTTGGCACATGCTCGTGTGGAGTGCCGCCACCAATTCGTGTCAAGCGCTGGCCTCGCTGAGAGCTCTCAGGGCCCGCGGGGAAAGCCTCTTGGGCTCCACGCCCCAGAGGTGGGCGGCCGTGCGAGGCCCCTTCGGGGCCATGGTCCTGTCCCTCAAACGAATTGGGTGGAGTCTGGCCTCCCCTCTCGTTTTTGTGTCTCGCAGTGGCCTTCATTTCCCCATGACCAGTTACTCCCCTGCGTTTGTACAGCAGCTCATGCAGGTCGACTGGCTAGACATTTTGAGAGAAAAGGCAGCAAGCAAGCTTGGAGCTCCAGGAGCCAGGCTTGACCCTGCAGCTGCCCTTGCCGCTTTGAAAGATCCCTCGTTGTCGAAGCAGGAAAGAGGGTGCCTTTTGACGTTTCTCACCCAAGGCTGTTGGACTAAAGCTCGAGCCAAGGATGCAGGCTACCCAGTCGACCCCGCCTGCCTCTGCGGTGCTGAGTCGGATGACATCAAGCACCGCGTTTTCGGCTGTGATTTGACCAGGAATGAGCGGGAAGAAAGCTTTAGCCCTCATGAGCTCGAACTGTTGCAGTCTAGCAGCGAGGAGCCCTTGTTGCGTTTTGGTTTTCAGCGGGACCCTGAGTTTTCCGTGGGAGCCAGGCCAGGCCTCGGGATTGAGGATGTGGAATTTTGGTGCAAAGACCCTGATTTGTCTCTGCACGAGGCCTTCGAGGGCCAAGTCTACACAGACGGCAGTTGCGACAACTCTCTTCACCCTGCCTACCGATCGGCAGGATTCTCTGTAGTTGCCCTGAGAGAAGACGAACCTTTCGCCATCCTCACGGGTCAGGTAGGGCAGCAGTTCCGACAGACTTCAGGAGCTGCAGAGCAGTTAGCGATTCTTCTAGCTTGCCACGCCTCGCCGTTGATCACTCATGTGCACACGGATTATAAAGCCGCTATAGACCTCCATCTGGCCCCTCGTTTCTCTCGCAGGTCAACCATGAGCGGCTTCAAGGTCTTGGCAGGCGCGTGCTGCGTCCGCCCTAGCAGTTGCATATGTAAAGTTAAAGGCCACCAGAATCTAGAAGCCGAGTTTTCCTCCCCAGAAGAAAGGACCCACGCCCTCGGGAACGACGTTGCCGACAAGGCAGCGAAGCAGGCGGCCCAGAAGATGGCCCAGCCCAGCCGGTCCGAGGTCGAATCCCACGAGTTTCAAACACGTTTGCTCGGCAGATTTTTACGCTATCTGGCCAGAATCCTCCCCAAGTGGCCCGCCTTGGCTCCGAAGAGAGGCAAGAAGGGCCTTGAGGCTCCCACGAGTTCCAACCCCCCCATCGGAGCCGCGTCCGCTCCTCACGTCTGGGTCCCTGGGGCCGCCCCTCCGCCTCCCTCGCCCCCTCCTCCGCCGCCTGTTGCTGTGTCGGAGGCTGCGGACGCGACTCACAATTGGGAGTATATAAGGGGTAAATGGTTATGCACCGTTTGCCGTGTGACGGCGAAGTCCAGTCAACATCAGATAGCCCGTCAGAATGAGAAGTGCCCAGGGTACTGTGCTGCTATGGCGAAGCTGGCCCAGGACCCGAAAAGGCACAACCTCCTTTGGCTAGAATACATAGACAATTCGTCCACCCTGATCATTTGTAAAGATTGCGGCTCTTACATGGAGCAAGGCAGGGGGCTTAATTCGGAGTGTCTACGTCGAGGGCCACAGAGTACAGGTGCCGCCGACCGTCTCTCTAAGGTTCTCAGTCTCAGACACCCGAAAGGGGGGAAGAATTCACCTGTGGTTTTCAAACCCCCTGTCCCCCTTGCCCAATTTTACCGCCAGACCCTCAGGGACCTGGCAGCAGCACCAAGCTCTGCTGCGGGGGCAGCCAATTCCCCCTGAAGAGTTTCGGAGGC